GGGGCCCCAGAGGGAGGCGGGGGGGCCGGGCCCCTGCCGGTGAGAGCAGCCGCACTCCTGGCAGGGCGCTGGCAGTTGGATGTGCCACGCAGGCTGCTAATTGCAAGCAGATGCCCGAATCGCTGGGCAAACATAACACGGCCTTAGTTTTACAGAGGGAGGCTCAGTTTTGCATCCAAGCTTTTGTCCTCCCCCAACATGCATCCGGCAATGTGTACCGGGGGATGCAGGAGCCTCGGGCAGCTGGCAGAAGTCACAGTCCCTCTCTGTGATGGGGCTTTCCCCCGCTCTTCAGCCAACATCCCATCGATCTGCTATCTCCTCCGTCGGGAATGGGGTTTCTCCATGACCAGACACAGTGAGGCCAAGATTTCTCTCCCTGCACACTGCTGCAAAACTGTGAGGGATAAGCAGGACAAGGACAGGGGCAGACCCACCGTGCACACTAAAGCCCTACAAGATGTGCAGTACGACCTCTCTCCCTCCAGAGGCTGCAGAGGCTCAGGACAAAACTCCATCCCATCTCTTACTCCTAGAGCCACGAACCCTCAAATCCCTTCTGCTACACTGGAAATGAAGAACGATTTTACTGCTGAGGGATAAAAGCTCATAAACCCAGGGCCAGCCACCCCCTGCTCCTGCACCGCTGGTCCAGCAGCCCCTCTCCGACTCCAGCCCGCCGGCGAGGCTGCCCCTCTCTGAATCATCCCTGACACGCAGGTCAGCTCAGACGTAATTATCTTGAAATACTACGAACATCATAAATTCACCGACTTTTGAGGTGCAAAGGTTGGCAAACACATGAGGAAGGTTACGTGCCGCTCCTCCCACCCGCACTGGCTGTGGATGCACTGGGTGGGACATGGGGCACGCCGGGCGGCGTGGACGTGCCAGGCAGGACTGGCTGGGGGGGTTTGGGAGGGCCGTGCCCTGGGGGCCCTGCCCCTCCGGTGTTGCTGCTGATGGAGGAGAGGATGTGGTTTATGTCTGCCTGCTCAGCCATGTGTCGGCAGGGCCGGAGTATCCTGGGAATACGGGAACAGGGTTGTGATGCTCGAGCTGGTCACCTGCCCTGGGGCTTCGGTCCTCTAAAAAAACGCTGGGTTTTCTCTCCTTCACACCCTGAGAGAGAAGCAGCAGCATGGCAGTGGCAGAGACGCAGGGAGGAGAAGCTGGAAAGCATCTCCTGAATACTAAACACGACATGGAGTATATGCGTCTCACACTCTGTGAGAGCTGGAGTTCTCCTGCCATGTCTTCTCCACCCTATCCCCTAAAGAGCCAGGTACTCTGCTCCTGTAGATGGGTGTCTTCGCTGCACGGTCCCTCTGGAAATTGCATGGTCTTGGGCGTGTGCCAATGGAAATAAACCATTGAGGAGCACCCAAGTGAGACCTTACCTCCCACGTAGGCGATGGAGAAGCCCCTCTTGGCCGTGTTGCGGTCAGTGTGGAGGACCAGCAGCAGCTGGTTGCTGTGGGACATGACAGGCACTGGGCTCTCCCGCCCGCACCACCGCCCCAGCAGGGACCCGTTCTCAGCACCACCATCGAAGGCGGCCAGATGGTCATAGTCACAGCCACCCGTCAGGCTGCTCCGGCCCTCCAGCTCCATGTCCAAGAAGAAGACCTTGACCCGGTAGCCCGGGGGTAGATGGATGCTCCACTGGCACTTGAGGTTGTTGGGGTAGAAGTTGGGGTACCGAGGGCTGGAGAAATTCCCTTTGATGGTGGTGAACACCTCCTGGCACTCACCTGCTCGGGAAAAAAGGGGAAAGGAAAAAATGAAAGCAAACCTGAAGCCCCCTGGGTGCAGACAAACTGGTGGCTGAGCAATCACTTGTTTTATTGCTAAAGCATGTTTTGTGCACCACCTCACTGCTCCCCAGTCCTGAGTTTGGCTGATGGACACCCATCAGTTTTGGGGGATGGCAATACCCAAGGTGGCCAAAGTCCTACAAGGACAGACGGGGAAACTGCATATCCCCAGGGAATGACATGAGCAAGGGAGAAGGGCAGCTCTTGCTCAAGAGGAAGTCAACCTGGGGCCTTGGAGAGCCACAACAAAGTCATTTGTGTTGTGTGGCCAATTACACTTCACACCATCATCTCATGATCTCTCCCCACAGAGGTCCCCTCTGCTACCATGTTCTCTTGCTGCCGCAGGAGGGAGAGCATCCCCACCACCACCTTAGGGACCCGTCCCCACATCCTTCCCACCACCACAAGACCCCCGCACCCGAGTAGAAATGGGCCTTGAAGCCTCTGCCGCCGATGTTGAAGTCCGACTTGAAGAGGATGAGGAGGTGTCGGGCAGAGGAGACGGTGCGGGGCGGGCGGGTGCTGCCGCAGTAACGTCCCAGGCGGGGGGCAGCAGCGGTGGGGCCATCAAAGAGGGCCACATAGTCGAAGCCACAGCCCTGGCCACCCTCCACCTGGAAGTCGGCGAACACCAGGGTGAGGGGGCCACCGCCACCAGCCCCCACGATGCTCCAGCGGCACTCGGCGTCGTTGGGGTAGCTCTCGGGGTACCTGGGGCTGGTGATCTCCCCGGACAGCCCTGTCAGCTGCCCACCGCAGGCATCTGCAGGGAGGTACGCATGATGAGGATGGTGGGCGAGGACAGATGGACGGATGCTTCCCCACCACTATTCCTCCCCACTACCTTTCCGGTAGGCAGCAGCAAAGCCATGCTTGGCCACGTGGCGATCGGAGCGGAAGACGACGGCCATGACGTGCCAGGCGGAGGAGAAGGGTGGCGGGGGGCTGCGGCCACAGAAGGTGCCCAGGAGGTTGCCCCGGTCCCGGGTGGCCCCATTGTAGACCTGGAGGTAGTCGTAGGCGCAGGCAGCATGGTATTCCAACTCAAAGTGGTTGAAGGAGAGCAGGACAGAGGAGCCCTCGGCCACCACGATCAGCCACGTGCACTCCGTCTCGTAGGGGTACAGCCCTGGGAAGTTGGGGCTGGAGAAATTGCCGGAGGGTGCTGAGAGCACCCCCCCGCATTTGATGCCTGGAGGACACAGAGGTGGGTGTGATGTCCCCTTTCCAGGCGAAGCCTGAAAGGATGGAGATGGTGCGCACAGCACCAGCTTCATCCCACCATGAGTGAGAGAGTGAGTTTTAAAGGCTCAGTGGTTCCAGGCTTGCCAGTGCCGTGGCTGCCCAGCCCTTCAGCTTTTTGCCTCCATGTTTCCTCCATATAATGGTGATATCAGTGAATTTAAGCTGGGAGAAACAGGGTTGAAGGGCTCTGTGAGCTTAACAATGAGTTATGCATGTAGGGATCGATTTTCTAATGAAATCTTTATACTGAGACACGGTTATTATAAAATAAGGTGGAGGAGGGGGGAGGGGGGGGCAACTGCCACCTGCCCCTGGGTCTGATTAGGGTTGGGGTGAAGAGGCCGCTATAGCGGGCACATACATCATGTCTGGGAGGGACGCAGACCCTGCGTAGCCTCAGGGGGAACATGTGCGGGTTCCCAAGCAAGGCCGGGCGCTCGCTGCCATCAATCCGGGCCAAGTATATTGCGAATCAATAGTCAGCCAGCGCGCGCTGCTTTTCATCACGCTCGCTGGTGCGGTGACCTCCCGGTGAGGGGGGGGTGGGGGTGTCCTGTAGATGCTTGTGATGCAGCACCATGGCAAATGGGTAGGGGAAAGTGTGTGTAAATGTGTGTGCGTGTTTGCACAAGCAGCAGAGCTGGCCAGGTCTAAAATTGCCTTGCTGATTACTGGGGATAGGCAATAAAGTAATCCGGGGCTGGCATTAAAGGAATAATGTTATGGAAATAAATATCCGAGAGGGGAAAACCGCAGGAGGGGTGAGTGGCCACGGGGCAGGCGGACTGACAGGCTGAGAGCCTCGGGGTGCTGTGGGAACCCCGGGTGGGTGCAGGCAGGGGGGAGACCCGCACCAGGGCCGGGATGGGTTTTGATTTCTGCTGCAGCCCTTTTGTGAGAAAGGCCCTGCCGTTTTGGGGGAGGGGTATAGCTCGTTAGCTGAATTAATGAGCTGACCTGGCCCAGCCTGCCCCACAAATTACTGTGTTGTCTGCTAACCTTGCCCTGCATCCTGGGGATGTTTTATCCAGGTAAGGTTAGGGGTTTATTATGTGCAAAGCAACATACACATACATACATACATTCACATATATATGTATATGTGCATGTATATATACATTTATATAGGCATGTGCAACTCCAGAAGTTAACAAAGGCGTCAGAAAAGCTCCTGGACACCACAAGAGGACAACCCCTACCTGCAACCTGCAGTTAAATAAGCACAAAGCAGAAAATCAAGCACGGACCAGCATCCCGCACTTGCTGCCATGTGCAGCGACAGCAGACCCCAGTTCCTTTCCCCGGGCCACACCAGGCAGCCCCTGGCCTCAGTGAGCCGCTCTCCCTGTATGGGCTGGGACCCGCTCGCACCCCAGAGCCACTGCAGCACCCGCAAACAGCCCTCTTCTCCCTGGGGACCATGGATGCCCGTCCAGCCCCGGGATCCCCACTGAGAGCTGGGATCAGGCTCTTACCTCTGCTGGGAGCATCTCCGAGAGCCCCGCACAGCACGGCCAGTGCTGCCAGGCAGCCCGCCCCCGCGCACCCCATCATCCGGCAGGCAAATGTCCCCTCAATGGCACCCGAGCATCCTTTCGGAGCTGTCTATCTGGGAGGGGAAAAAAAAAAATAAATAAAGAGAGAAATAAATAAAAAGCGGGAGGACTGTAGAATTAATAGCAGAATGAATAATTCATCGCTTGTTTGAATTAAGAGCGGTAAGGTAACTTGATCTATTCCTCCCTTCCTTCACTCAGTTTTAATGATCTGGATCAAATGTCCCAAGGATTTACACTATACCAGATACCTTGTCAATACACTATATTTAGAAGAGATATTAATGTTTCAGATATGGTGTATAATGGCAGTAAGTCTGGGCTGACAATATGCCCTTAAGGGGCTATGAAAATAATTTAGTTCACCAGGCAAGCCAGCGAACCAAAATGGGAATTTCAGACTTACCGAAGAAAAGCACCTCAGGAATTAACGTGATTTATACTGCGGCACCCACTGCACAAAGCCAAGTGGTGGTAAAGGCTAGAGAAACAGGCAACAGGATTTAAACGCGGCCGCGTCTCCATGTCTGCTGCCAGGTCAGCATCCCTGCAGCGAGTGCCCAGGCTCAGCGGGATGCTCAGCCCAGGAAAGAGGCAGTCGCGAGCTCTAAAGATTGCAAATCCCACCTCCTCCGAGGAAGATTAGAGATGAATTGTGACTCACGGGCAAAAAACCCATCGATTATTATAGAATCTGCTAAGGCCTTGGAGAATTACCATGTTCTTCCACGCCGGCTCATGCTCCTTCTCACCCAGGCTCTTGGATGCAATCGGCTGAAGGTAATCGAGCCTTTGCTTTTGGTGGGAAAGATGTGCTCCTCGTGCTGTGCCACATTAGCTGGAGAAACCCCAAACCCGTCAGCGTTTCAGTTCCTTCCCTCCCGCCCAGGAGAGGAAAGACCTTCTTGCTGCTGTAACCCACACCCAGATGAATGCCAGGAAACAAAAAACCCACGAGGGCCTCCCGGCGTGAGGCAACCTGCACTAAAAAAGTCACCTTCAAAGCCACGGGGAAAGAAGCAGTGAGTATCTGTAAATCTCAGGCAGGGAGACAAGTTGCATTTATTAATTAAGCAATGAGGATCGATGCCTGAGACATTTCCTGTGGATTAATGATGGGCTGGGAGGAGCTGATGGCCCGAGGTGCAGCTAAGGACCATTAACACCAACTGGTCATTAATCCCCAGGAAATGCTCCATGCCAAGGTCGTTAAGTGCCTGCATATATTTATGGGTAATAATAACAACAATAATATTTGTACAGGCTCTCTCCCCACTGCCTGGCCTCATTGGAGCCATGCTGAGGGCTGGTGGGAGCATTGGGGCATCCCAGTCAGGAGCCCTCCATCCTGAGCCCAGCTGAGGTGGGGGACATCGGGGTGTCTGTGCTGGGGCGCTGGGCACCGTGTCACCCCATGAGCACCAGGAATAAGTGCACGTTCAAAGGAGGAGATGCAAGGCAGCCCTCCCTGTCCCAGGCGCAGCACAACGCTCCTGCTCAGGCTCTGGGAGATGGCTGTGATGCTGTCACATCTCCTACCGACCTCTCAGAGACTCTGCAGAGCTTAATTAGCTGCTTCCCTAATGGGCTTGGAGAGAAGGTCTGTCCCCGTAACTTGTACAACGCATGGGGGGCCAGCACCCACAGCAAAGAGGCGGGAAAGGTCTGGTGGTGCAGGTCCCTCTCCTGGGACCTCTCCACACTGCAGCCCCGGCTCAGCCAGGAGGAGCGCTCAGCGCCCCCGGCCACCATCCCCTGGGCTTAGGAACAACGTGCTCCCAGCTTCTCCATCGCTGCATGACGGAGCAACACGTTTATCCGTGCTGCATCCATCTCCTGCAACACCCACCGTCTCCAGCCCTTCCACTGCCGGCCTCAGTGCCGAGGCACATCCCAGCATGGATCCAGTGTTCGGGACACCGGTACCTACGTGGCCACTCCTCTCCATCCCTCCAGCTGAGCTCTGCAGTCCCGCCTCATGCCGTGCATCGGTGATACCCCCAGGAGACGTGGGGCTGGGGCTGTGCAGCACAGCAGCTGTGCCCCGCTCCCAGGAGACGGCATCCATCAACCGCCGGCACATTCACCCTCTCCTGACCTGGGGATGGCCATTCCCCAGCTGGGCCTGAACCCAGGCGACACCGCTTCTCAGCCGGCAGAGCCGCAGGGAGTGGGCAGAGGAACCAGGCAGGTCCTTCCGCGTGAAGGTCTGGCCAGAGGTCCTCTGCATCAGCCCAGGGTGCTCTGGCTCTGGCCGGAGACACGGTGGGTGATTTCGAGGTGTGCCATACCAGGGCTGCCTCTATTCCTCTGTGGGCGAATTTGTAAATCATGAGTTAAAAAGGCGTTTGATTCATTTAAATAGAAAGGATGTGATCAGGACTGTGAGACTTCAGAGAAGATCAAAGGTTTAAATACGGTCCCCAGGAGAAACGGGAATTATTTAGGCAGGAAATAATGAGATGAAATTAAGAAGGTATTTAGGCTGCACATGAGGAAGACGAATGGAAGTGAAACAAAGCCCCCCCTCCCTGGCACAGCGCTGCACAGGCAGCAGAGGCTTCCCGGAGCGTCCTGCCAGCAGCCACCCGCCACTGCTGGGAGCTCACACACCTCCAGCTCCACAGATCCCCCAACAGTCCACAGCATCGCCACCATTTCCCTGTGAAACTGCCATTGCGGGGTAGTTCCCAGACCTCCAAAGGGAAAGAAACCTCTCCTCTTCCCTCGGTAGGGAAAATCCTGCCCAAAAGCCTTTCCATCCCACGTCTCTGCCTTTGCAGGAGTGCCACACAAGCCTCTGAAAATGGCTGTCCCCATGGGGGACTGGTTGGGAAGAGGGAACTCGTGTGAGAGCCAGCCTGAGAAATGACAAAAGGCAGGAGGGGGAAGGGAAAGGAGGGCAGAAAATAGAGAACAACGTGCCCACAGGCAGTTTAAAGGCCCCTTCAAGTTCACACTTCAGAAGACATCATCTCCCCCATGGAGAATGTCTCCCTAAGACCCCCCGTCCCCTCCAGCGCGGTGAGCCGGGCTGCCGGCTCAGCATGCATCACCTCCTCCCGTTCTGCCTGCAGTCTGCCTTTGCAGGATTGCAACCCGCAGCATTCACAGCTTGCTCCGTCTCTCACCACCCTCCCTTCTAGCCACGAACAAAGACGAGAGGCTTCGCAGCAGAACGGCCAGACCAGCTGGGTAAGGTTTAACCATTGTGGCCCATATGTGCTGAAATACCCAGACATATTGGGGTTGCGTTTAAAGGAACAGTCCCAGCTTTCGCGCGGAAAGTCATCGTTTTTCCCGACGCGAGCGTGAAGTTTTACTTCAGGCCTTTGCGAAAAGGCTGGGTGGATTTTTAGCAAAATCTCAGAAAGGCAGAATATTTAACGCAAGAGGTATATACGCAAGGTTTTCAGAGTACGCAATAGTTCAGGAAAATATTTCCTCCTTGTTTCTAGCTAGGGCCAAAGTAGGAAGAGAGAGAAAAGCAACTCCTTATTTTCTCAGCCCCACGCTGCACAGAAGCACCTCTACTACACAGCGGCTTACGGTGGCTGAAGCATGGTTTGGACGGGAGTTGGGAGTTTGCCTTGGATCTATGATGGACAATTTCCCTGGATCTTTCTGCGTTAAAAGCCAGAACCTTATTTTGGGTTACAAAGATGGCTTTCTTGTCAGCCCTTGCTCCGGTGAAGTTAACATAAAAGCTGCAGCTACACTGGATTAATTCCAGGCATTTGGTAACTGGAGACAAACCTCACTGATGCGAGGGGAACCGACGCTTCCTCCCAACATGTGAATCAGAGCCATCATTTCAGCTCACACTACTTATTCTGAGTAACTCAAACTCCACCTCCTTTGTGTAAGGTGTACTATTTGATACATGTGAAAAATTAGACAGGAATGATAGTGCAACATCATCTGTCACAGCCTGGGAAACCCCAATACAGGATAAACTAGGAATGAACAGAAAAACACAAAGGTGTGGAGAAAGCCTGTATTTCCAGGTGTAGTTAGTAAACACAGTGGTCTCAGAAGGTAAAAGAGTGGACAACAGATAACTCTGAGGAAAGGCAGCAGCATCTTGGACTGACAGAGGAGGAGGAAGGGGCTGGGGTGCCCAGGCTGGCTGCCACGAGGCTGCCATCCCCCGGGCAGGCCCCTGGCTCTGTCCCCTGCCCTGCGGGAGAGCACCCCAGCAAAGCCTGAGAAGCTTCCACTCCTCTGGTAGTGGTCTTGTAGGCTTGGGGCACCGCTTGGGGCACCCCTTGGGCACCCGTGAGCATCCTGTGACAAGAAACAGCTGTTTACTTGGAAAGAGGTTCAATTTAACAAACCAGGGCTATTACACAACACTTAGAGGACACAGAAAGCAACCATTCATCCATCCTTATGCATAGTTTTTTCCACATATGGTTGGAAAGGCTCTTTTCAGAGAAGACCAGTGCCACTTTCTCTGTATTAGTGTATAACGGGGCAACCAATGAGGCACAGAGAGGCTGAAGTGACTTGCCTGGCACCACCCAGCAAGACAATGACACAACCAAAATGAACCCCACGGACCCCAGAGCGCCGGGCCAATGCTCTGCTGTTCCCTCAACCAGGCACTCTTCTCCCTCAGGATTAAGTCTCTCCTCTGGGCACCTAACAGGGCACAAGACCACCACAGACTAAAATGGATTGCAAAACAAGTCACTGGTTTTCATATTACAGCAGAGCTGTGTGTTTGGATGCTTTTTAGTAATGCTAGGATGCTTTTAAGATCTCTCTCTTAATATTGCACATGAAGACTTCCATTAAAATCACCATGCCATTCCCTGAGGTGTGGGTGGCACATCACATAGCAGCCACTCTGGAATGGCACCTGTTCCTTAAAACACTCTCAAGAGTGAGAATCATACTGGAGACAAATATTTGATCCAGAGGCCTACAAAAGCACAAGGAACTCAGTCTATCGAGATGACCAATTTTGAGCAACGTCTGCAGAGAAACAACGACGTCCAAGGCTCAGCCTAAGGTTCCTCAGGTCCGGAATACTCTGCTAAAAGACAAAACAGGAATTTTCTTCGATTCCTGCAGCTTTCAAGTATCTACTCATATCTTCATTGAATGCAGAAGAGCCACAGATTAATACAAACGGCTTTCTTCGACAGGAATTTATTATCGTCTTCATCAAGTCTTCATTGAGACGACCAGTGTATGTGTTTTCCTGATAGCTCCAAGGAAGTTTTTCTAGTGAAGTTTCCTGAAAAGACAAAAGGTTTGCAGTGTGCCATGTTGAAAAGGACAACTGATTGCTTACAGCTGAGTCTCTGTCCTCCCCTCAGAGTATTGATCAGGACGTTTTTCACCCTTGTGACTCCATCTGGGTAGAAGTGACCCTTCCTGAGAGCTGCATTCCTCTTTCAAAGCCCAGATCAAATCTTTCCTTGCCATGGGACCTGGCTACTCACTCAGAGGGGACTGAACAAAACCAGAGAGTAACTATCACTAATAAATGCCGCAGAACCTTCTCCTTTGAGAACCACTTCCCAGCACGCCTTTTCTATTCCCAAGTCCTACGTCCCAAGTCTATCCCTCTCTATTGCCTCTCCCATTCCCAAGTCTCTTTCAGTCCCATCTCCCCTGACCAAAACTGAAAGAAGCCAGCCCTGCTCCAAACACAACTCTGATCCCATGAGAAATGTTAAATCCCATGGCACTAGATCCAGCGGGGACTCCCCTACTGCTATTAATTAGAAGCAGAAGGTGCTCAGATGTGGCGGTGACAGGCAGCAGAGTGAAATACTGAGACAGACAGATATATAATCCTAAAAGGGAGGATGCACCAGTCAGTGTGGGACTACAACAAACCTGCTAAAAGAGAAGAAAGGGAGAGATGTACACGCAGGGCAGACAGCGTTGACAGGGGTCAGGTGGGTTTCTTGCCCTTCACTGATTGAATTTCAAGACCTCCTCATGCTCTCAAGACAGCACTGTCCTGAAAAGGGTATTTAAGCTGTGTCACCACAGACAATTACTGGTTACGCTCCTACAGAGCAGCTGAGGGGGTGCCTAAGTCACAAGTACTTTTCCCTATACCCAGTCTCCACTTGCCGAGGCCATACGTGGAACATAATGTATGAGGCAGATCCACTATGAGAGATATATAAAATGATTCATCTGAGAAACTAAAAATGCATTGGGATTCATTCCCTTAGCATAAATAATTCTTTCTATATCCTCCCTGCAATGAATCCTCATTTCTGAAGGAAACAATTTTCAACTACCAAATCCATGCAGAACACAGGTAACATTGGGACCAAACAGAAATGAAAAAGACTGCTCAAAACGTAAGACCACTGAGAGGTATGCCCTCATCCCATGGCTTTGGCAGAAAAGATAATTTTACAGAGGGGGAAACAACTTCAAGAAGTTTAAAAATGGGTCAGCTGGGAAAAATAATTGCCGGGAAGTTGGTGCTAGCATACTAGAAGAGAGCTCTAGCCATGAGCAATGAATGCAGGATAAGGACAGATTAAGGCATTGGTATTAGGAAAGAAGAAATAGATTATTTGCTGTCGAGTTTTCTCTGCACAAATGTTTAGGTGCAGCAAGAACTTTCTGAAAAGGGGGCGAATAATCAAGAGTGACTATGAATCAGGGGGTCTGTCCCAACAGAAACAGCTACCAAGGAGGTAAAGAGGGACAAGCAGTGACAGTCCAGAGCAGGGTCACCTACAGCACGTTACACAGGACAGCGTCCAGGCGGGTTTTGAATGTCTCCAGAGTGGGAGACTCCACCACCTCTCTGGGCAGCCTGTTCCAGTGCTCCACTACCCTCAAAGTAAAGAAGTTCCTTCTCATGTTAAGATGGAACTTCCTATGTTCAAGTTTATGCCCATTACCCCTCGTCCTATCACTGGGCGCCACTGAAAAAAGACTGCTCCCATCCCCCTGGCATCCTCCCATTAAGTATTTGTATGTATTAATAAGATCCCCCCTCAATCTTCTTTTCTCTAGACTAAAGAGACCCAAGTCCCTCAGCCTTTCCTCATAAGAAAGGTGCTCCAGTCCCCTAATCATCTTTGTTGCCCTTTGCTGGACCCTCTCCAGCAGTTCCCTGTCTTTCTTGAACTGGGGAGCCCAGAACTGGACACAGTACTCCAGATGCGGTCTCACCAGGGCAGAGTAGAGGGGGAGGATGACCTCCCTCGACCTGCTGGCCACACTCTTCTTGATGCACCCCAGGATGCCATTCGCCTTCTTGGCCGCCAGGGCACATTGCTGGCTCATGGTCATCCTGTTGTCCACCAGGACTCCCAGGTCCCTCTCCACAGAGCTGCTCTCCAGGAGGTCAGCCCCCAACCTGTACTGGTGCATGGGGTTATTCCTCCCCAGGTGCAGTACCCTACACTTACCCTTGTTGAACTTCATAAGGTTTCTTTCTGCCCAACTCTCCAGCCTGGCGAGGTCACGCTGTAAGGCAGCACAGCCTTCTGGCGTGTCAGCCACTCCTCCCAGTTTTGTGTCATCAGCAAACTTGCTGATGGTACACTCTATCCCTTCATCCAGATCATTGATGAATATGTTGAACAAGACTGGGCCCAGTACTGACCCCTGAGGGACACCACTTGTTACTAACCTCCAACTAGACTCTGCACCGCTAACCACAACCCTCTGAGCTCTATCTGTAAGCCAGTTCTCAAATTCGCTTCCCTGAAATTCTCCAGTAGCAGTGTGAGAATACATAGCAGATTTAAGAACAGCAGCTACTGGATCACAAAATAGCCTCAATGACTGGGAAATAATTAAGATCACACTCATGGAAAAGCAGAGGAGGCAGAGGCTCATCCAGTACACAGAACCCTCACATGAATGTACTTCATATCCATTTATTTACCTGGCTTAGGACGTAAAAAATCCTGATGTTCCAGTATCGAGCCAGATCCTGGAGAAGAGGTTTCAAATAAATTTTGTCAAAGGTACGGAAGCAGCCAACAAGAGTTACAAAGGTTTCATCCTCTTCATCATCTGTTATGGACTGGAGGATGGGAAGCATTGGTGCGAGGCCAGTACCAGATGCCAGCATGAGGAGCTCTCCATGCTAACAACAAAACAGAGAACTTTGAATGAGCTGTGGTGATTGAAAACGGATGTGCTGATGGTCTGTTCCTCCTTGCTGTCACACTGGTAAAGGGTCCCTTGAGACAGAACATATCAGAAGGTCATGAACTGGTAAATTCAAATCTCAGAATGTATTTTTCTGCAAAGGATTACAGATAGTGCTTCCAGCATTTACACATCAAATCTAACAAAACCGGATTTCACCCAAATACAGTAATTTATCCTAACTTTAGCCTTGATTTCAACTAATTTATATTTCAGTTTCAATTCTGCAGTACATTTTGCTGACCCACTACCTGTTGTTTTCCCACTGGAAATGCTCCCTGTGTTTATCTTGGATGCTGCAAACTACAATCCTGAATGTTCTCTGGACGAAATGGTTTCATCTTCATCCTGATTCACGTATCTTCCTGGTGTTCTTTCTTTAAAGAGCTACCAGCAGCACATGGTGCTTCCCACCTGCAAGGGGAGTCATTCACTCTACTCGTGATAGGGATGCTCATGTGGTAAGGTGCTGTGTGTAGGAGGACAGAAGGTTCCCAGCTCTCTCCCCAGCTGCCAGCCAGTACACCAATGCCAGAAGTGGGACTTAAGCCCTGTTAAGCCCAGAGGCTGCTCGTGCCCTGTTTTGACTGGGCAGTTTATTGTGAATGGATCTGATCTGCCCGAATCTGAATCCTGTTCTACTGTCAGCAGACAGAGGTAAAAGAAAAATTTACTATGAAACTTTGTTATTATTAATAAATAATAAACAGTTTTTCTACAGCAAGTTGTTTTAATGATTGCTCAGGTGCTTTGCAAACCGCATGTATGCAGATCACCCGGACAGCTCCTGAACGCAGGCACTTCTAGGCATGACTGCCACGTTCTGTCCCAAACGACTATCTGGATGCTTTTAAGAAGAAAAGGGAACAGTAGCTTAGAACAGCAGGGAGAGTATTTCAGGAAGCAGAACACAATTGGTCTGCATGGAGCTTGGCCACTGGGATTTTACAGCCTTATTTTTGCTGTTGTTGTTATTGGGGGGTGGCGGGGGGGAGAACAAGGCTTTGGTATCTTAATGACCAGTGTTTCAATTCTGCTCTTCATTTGAAAGGTCAGAATTAAGTAATGGAATTAGGATGTGTAAGCCTTCCCCTGAAACTGGATCTGCCTTTCTTTGCGGGGAGCCTGGTATCAGCAGGTGGGATCAACACTTGCAGAGTGGCTGGGGGACATGACACCTCACTGGAGCTGCCACAGTTCAGGGACTACCCAAGAGAGAAAAAGAACAACACCTCTCCTTCGCTCACGCTCAGTCACAAAACAGCTACGTGGTTCACACAAGGCAAAAACCGATCCACACTCATTGCTGGTGCAAAATAAGTTCCCTTTGTTAAACACATCAGGAAGTTCTAATGCAAGTGATGAACAGGGAGCCTTGCTAATATTTTCCAGTCTCCCATCCACCTCCCTGTCCTCTTCCTACTTAAATATTCTGCAGTGCAATAAGGTGTACTTTTTCCAATTGACTGCTAATGCTGTAGCACTGTACAGTAATCCAGGAAGTCCCTAAAATAATCATGAAAACAATAATCAAATTGATGTCTTCCCCTTGGAGTATTAAACAAAGCTAGCTGCCACAAGCTGAAACATCCTATGTCTCATAGGGAACTAACCTTATTAGGTCGATATGGGAACCCTCCAAACGGCCCACGCCAAAAGACCATGTCTCCTTTTTTCCACGTTTTTATGTATTGTGACATTAGCCCAGCTTCATAGCACTAATAAAAAACATTGCACAAAAGAAAAGAATAATTATACTCTGTTGGAAAGTTTCCCAGCTTAAAGTCAATTATAAAGTTATCTACATTTAAACAAGAAGGGGACAAAAAAACATTTCATGCATTTAAAAAGAAAGAAAGATCATTCTATTTGAAAAATAACTCAAAGTTATACCCAAAACAAAGACATTTAAATTAAATCATACTGGATCCATTCCAGCTTCACTATAATGTAAACACAACCCACTCTCATGCAGTCTGAATTTCCAAAACTGGAAAAAGCTTATCAGAGCTCTTGCTTACAAAGCACACAGAAAAAGAGTGTCTTGAATGCAAAGTACAGTCCAAGCCTTCAAGTGTTCTCCAAATCTCGGGGTATGGGGTCTGGAAATGCCCTCTGGGTACTGACAGTTATATAAACACTGCATAGCTCTTACTTTATTTCAGATGCCGTGTTGATACAATTAGTGACCCAAAGTCAGGTTACTCATTTATAAAGCTCTTGTTTTCAGAACAGATCATCTGGATGCTAAGGGATGCCTTCACATTTTCAAAAAATTATGTTAATTTGGGCCTCACAGAAGAAAAACATTAGCAAAATCTGCCTTACTTTCTACCAGGCACAAACACTGTTATCTAGGCTTTCGCCTGGAGGAATGCTAACCTCACTCATGACTGATGAGGAAGGGTCAGTGCTTGCTGGAAACAGAGAAGCAGGGAGAGGCTGGAAAATGAAGGGCTCATCCAAGCAGCCTTGTTGCTCCATGCTACATGTATACATATACATGTCCTATATGTACGAACACTTTATGGTTAATGAGAACAAACGTGCACAGAAGAACGGCCACAGTCCATAGGATCTGGCCAGATAACAAAGGCCGGTCCAACCAGCAAGAGCAGATAAGCCCAATAGCTGCAGTAGACAACTGGTCTCACACAGAGGTGATGCCACTGATAAGCCTGAGGAAGAGCAACACAAGCAGAGGTCAAAAGATGAGATGTGATATAAGCCTTCGAAGACTCCAGCCCATAGGAAAGAAGCATATTTTGGGGTATTTTCTACATGCACCTTGGACAGAAGCCCAGCTCCACACCCCAGTGCCTTGGCTGGCCACCAAGCTGCACTGCAGACAAACAAAACTGGTGAACCACAAAGCAGCTAAGAAAAAGCGAGTGAGTGAGCATGTGCTTGCAAGCAGTGTTAGCTAATAAAGAACACAGATGCTCCTCCTCTCCTAACAACCTCACTTAAACAAGATACCTGAAGTATTAAGAACTATTAGCACCAGCTGTTACATTCAAAAGGTAAATGCATAACATACATCCAGGCTCTGAGTTACTGTCAGAAACATTTTACGTTCAGAAGGCTCTGGGCAGGTACTAAGTCTCATGCAAAGAGTGTGCAGTTACATCAAAGGAGCTGTATTTTATACCTACCTTCTTCAAATATATACGGAAACTCAAGGCAAGAGCAGAAAAGTCAGCCCCACTTACTGCCTATTCCCAATGGACCAGGGTAATGGAAACTAAAACAATCCTTCTTTCACCAAAATTATTTCCAAAAATTGAAGTGAGAAGTGATTGAGTGGGTTTAAAATGAATTTTTCTAAATAAAAAGGAAAAAAATAATTATCTCCTGGGGGAAAACTTCGACACCCAGTTTTACATGGAGAGAAACCCTAACATTATAAAATCATTCAAAAAGAGGGTTATGCTCTGTAAATGGCAACTCCTTCACTCTTAACTGTAGTATCACAAATGCAATGCTATAATAACAGGAGACAGAAGGGTTTGAACAGTGCTTGGATTGCATAGTAATAATAATAATATAGTACTTTCCAAAATTGCCTGAATAGTGTGAAATATACCACAACCTACAGAGTGAGTTATAAAAATGGCTGCTTTACACTGGGTGTTACCAATCTCTTTTGTCACTGCCAGAGAGTAACTATAGCTCCCTTCGGGATGAAAGGTTCCATATAAAGGAAAGGTATCATTACAATCATTACTATTATTATTGAAATGCAAAACCTGTGAGTAATAACCAAGTATACATGAAATTTCACAGTCATCCTGTGAACGTATCCTATTAATGCAACTCAAATGCAACATTTCTCTCCCCTACCATACACCAATTGCCACAAGAATGGTGAAATGACCCTCCCACAGGTGTCCTACAGAAGCTGTACACTTTTCTAAAGAACAGGGGTTGTGTTAGAATGTACAATGCATAATAAACCCCAAAATGTGAAATCCTGGAAGACAGGCAGAGGACAAGTGGTCACTCCCTGCAAGCCACCTGGGACACCCAGTAGTCTGAATTTCACACCTGTACTGAAGTCTGTGTCTGCCCTGAGGAATCACTAGTGACATACAAACGCTGTATCAGGAAAACCTTCTTCAATTCTATATTCTACACACAAAGTCATCATTTATGAGGGCCCTGCAGACTTTATTCAGACAAATTTCCAGCCAAGTTCTCCTATAAAATCCTTTTGAACTCCACCAGCATTTTGCGGTGGCCTCCAGAAGGGCCAGGACACTTGTCCAAAATGGGGCTCTGCCACCCCAGCCACCCTGATAGGTGTAGCCTGTGCCCGTAGGCCACCTCTCTGCCCCATGGGCACAGGGACCCTCTCAGACTGTAGGCAGCTTTAGAGCCCTGCCTGCAAGCCAGAAAGAGCTGCCTACTGCCTGTCTACATTTTTAAACAAAATGAAAAATTTTTCTGAGTAGTGTTCTTAAAGCAAAATACAGGGGGGAGGGTAACAACTGGGCAAAGACTTCCCAAAAATCAGTGGTTCAACTGGGCTGACAACTGGGTGTGGTTTCAAAGACAGATTGAAAAAGCAAAATGAAATCTGGGAAGTAGAATGGGCTCTTTCCACACTGGTGACCACAGGGCTCCCGAGAGGCTCTCCCAAGTGCTTAACAGGGCTTATGCTGCAAAGCACTTGTTTGTGTGTCACCTTCCTCTGCTTTCAGTTTTGTGGGAAAAACTGCAATTTTTATCAGCAAAGCACAACTGCTTCAAAACAACACAGAAACAGTCCACGAGGGATTTGAGTCTCACTTGAAGCACTGACAGCACGCTTGGTTCCCGAAGAAAACACAGTCCCCAGCACCTTAGACTCTAATCCATGTTGTACAGGCTTACTTACTTTCATTAAAACTTCAAAGTACCCTTCCGCATTCCCTGGGCTAATTGGAGTATAGGCTCGCTGGACTTCCAAACCATTCACCATTCCTCTGAAGAGAGAAATATAGGAACCCACTGTGACTTGGGTCATTGACTGGCATTACCAAACTTCTGCAGTTCTCCGGGGAGACGAGGGAGGCAGCAGGTCCTCTTCCCAGTGGCCCAGCCTGCGCACAGATGCAAAACATTTCCTTTCCAGAGGTAAAAATCCAGGGGGAACATAATGGCTAAATGCACCTTTTGTTTTCCCGGTGGTGGCCCCAGCTGTACCCACGCATTCAGCTCTTGGACACACTCCTGGAAGGTTGTTTGAGCTGTTTTGTAAGAAACAGCCAAATGTGAAAGAGTGGCAAAGGGGAGAGAAAATGCTTTCATAGTTAAGTTTGCTGTCCCTTTTGGGCTGGGATCTACTTTCCTTTCTGTGTTCGGACAGCATCTGGTAATTAAATAATGAAAGCTTGGGCACAGCCTCGACCTGAGGTCTTCTCAATATACACTGTATTTTTCCTGTGAAGTCTTCTCTTTCTATAGAATATATCCACCCTGCTCCATACTACTGACTACAGTAATTGATTGAAGTGACCAAACCTTTTCCTCTGCTGCATTATGAGAGATGGCTGAAGGGAGAAGTGTGTACTTTCAGCAGCCAGCCAGCTGTATGCATCAGCTGTTAACGTACAAATAACGTCAACAGATACAGATCAATGGCATCGTAACACGAGTTTTTCTATCTGGCAGTGATCACCACAGATGGCTGAGAGACATAAACTTTTCCCAAGTGGTCCCTTTCTGGCAAGCAACAAACTACACAGGAGGGTTGTTTTGTTAGAAATCAGTCAGGAAACACCTGAACACCAGGGGTAACACCCCGGGTGCTGAATTACCCCAAGATACAGGGCCTAAAATACTGAGCTCTGGGGTAAGTGCAGCTCATTGTCTTCATTCCAACACGCTGGAGTAAATCATCTGTTGTAACATCTATTCTTTGAGTCTTTCTTTCTGCAAATGGATTTTCTTAATCACACCTAGTTCTTTCTGACCCACCGATGCAAGGATAATGCTGAAGAAAAATACAGCTTTGGAATGGCTTTTACCATAAAATTAGAGCTAGCGAGCTCACAAGTTCTTTCATCTGTGCCATTGTGAAGGTATAGAAATTATGATTTGCCTGGTATGAAGCCTTTGTCTATTGACAAAACCCTACATATTAGGTTACATAATGCAGACTGTTTAACTAGCACAGAGAACAATACCTTAACACGATATGTTGTCCTAAACTCAATTGCAGACTGCTATTTCCCGGTAATTCAAATTTGTACTGGTAGGTGTCCTCTGTTAGCTGCTCCACTGAGCTAATGTTGAATGCAGTAAATGTATCTGGATTCAGTTCTGAATTATTGCTCTGCAAGAACAACAATAAATAATTACTTGGTTAGATGGTGTCTTTTATTATTTCATTTTTCTTTGGAAGCAAACGTGCGTGCTAATTTAGTGCCGGAGATACTCAGGACTCCAGAAGAACATGTATTAAATGTGGGGCCCAGTGCAAATTTCAGCGCTCTGCTGATTCATTATCATGTTCTGCAGCATGCACTTTGGGATCTTACATTTCCCCCCCCCTTTTTAAATTACATTTTTACACCTTCCAGCAAGGTCATCCTAGTATGACTCACTGCAATCATTTTCTCATGCCTAGAAACAAACAGAAATAATACTGCTAAAAGAGCTGAGCGCTGCTTTGGGGGCAACTTTGAAACCTACTGATGACCACTGCGAATAGGAAATATTGCTAGCTGTTTCAACGCTGATCATTTTTGCTTGACCCAGCATAGTTAATGTTATGTAAAAAGGCACTGACAAGCTTAAAATTATGCTCTGAAGACAACTACTCCATCACACACGATGCAGCTTTTTTCATCCTCAAAATACAAGTCTAAAAAACAGGTACAGATAGAACAGGTCAGGAAAACGGAGCTTCTCCGAGGAAAGCGTCAGAGAAAATTGTGATTCTTCATACCTTTCACCCATTCCCACTTTCCAAAGAGGCTGGCTGTGGCTGGCTGGGGTACCCCAGCAAGGAGAAGCTGCAGACCCAGGGCTGTAATGCGACACCAGGGCGAACTCGACACTTGGAAAATCACGTTACAGCAGGGAGAGAGCAGGCAAGGGGGAGGGTGGCTGTGAAGGCAGAGTTTGGGGAATTGCATTTACAGCCTTCTCTTAAGGCGCTGCTTTAATCTATGGCTGCATCCCTCGCCCATCACCACAACCCCACACGCTAACAAGTACGATCAAAACACTGGCTCTAGGATGTGATCAAGATAAATTGACCTGCTCCTTCTTTTCCATGAGGAGGCTTTTGTCTTGCTTTGCTTTGGCCCTTTCCCATTGTGCAAGCTCCTTCTCATACACATCGTAGATGCAGGGTTTGCAGCCGCTGCCGCAGCACTGGGATGGAGAAGGTTCCTGGGGTTTGAGAGCCAGCCAGTCGTCCTCATTTCCACTCATTGTCTGCAAAACACAAGCCCTGCATCAAAAACAGCACGATAAAGAGCGGCGTGTGCTCATCAGCCAAGCATTATTTGGAGAAGGACTGAGAAATCTCTCTTGAGCATCTTGCACGTGTATCTCAGGGGACTCAAAAAACCCGAAAACCTGTGAGCTGATACAGTGCCTGCAACACTCCATTTTTGTTCAAGTGCTTACTGCCTCTGCATTGACTGGTGCAGGAATGTCAGACATTGCAGCCACCAGTCCAGAGCCGCACAGCAGACCCCAGCCCAGCCTCAGGCTCTGCTTCCCAGGCTGGCTGCCTACTGAGAGCTACCTCCAGCAGCAGCAGGCACACGCTTATTATTGCTCGTTCTGCTGTGGTGATTTCCAAAGGAAGAGCAGCCTGGTCACCCGGAGCTGAAACACCTTAAAAATCTGCGCCTCAGTCAATGAGGACGTATAATAAACCCCAACCGCCAAGGTGTGGCCTGCTGGAGCACTGCTTTAAAATGGGGGGAGGGTAGCGAGCTGAAGGTGGGTATTAGAGCCAAAAGACTAGAGGCAAATCTGGTAAACTCACAGGCAAACGAATAAACGCTTTGGTTATGAGCTGATTTGAGTCTGGTTTTAAATGCAGACATGTAGGAAAGGGCAAGAAGCACACACAGTGCGATTTTTATCCCTTACCACTTGCTACCTTTGGTTCAGACAGAGCTGTACCTGGTGAAGGCTCCTCAAACTGAACTCGAGATGCTGACCTCTCGGGGACTGCTGCTTTTGCACAACGCTTGGCTTAACGCTATTCCCAATGCATTTGTCTCTGTATCATTTAAAGAAAAGGAGATCCAGAAGAAATTATAAAGCCACGGGTGACGAGGCTGAGGAAGCGAACACTTAGCACTTAGAGCAGCTTCATTTTCAAGATGAATTAATTAACTAACCTTCACCCCTGCAACACATATACACTTATTCTAAGGCTACAGGAGGAGAAGAGGGAACCAAAAGGCGAGTGGTTTTGCTTTCCACAGCAGCCGACGGTTCCATACCCCCACAGGACTGGGGGCCCCGAGTGCCTGAGGGTCCTCTGAGGGCTGTGAGGAGGGGGGCCCCCCACCAGGCCGCGGGTGGAGCCCGGGGACCCCACCATCGGGGCTGGCCG